AGTCTTTTGACAATGTTTAACACATAATAATGATTGAGTAAAAGGCTGCTATTAATATTGTAAGAGTTTACACTCATATATATTTCAGTTAAATAGAAAATTAATTGATTTGCTAACATGCACACATTACTTTGTTTTTAGAGGTCAAAATTATCTAAGATATGTGACCTTTAACATTTTCCACTAAATATATTTTGAATAAATAATATAAATCCCCTCAAATGAGTTCTAATTTAGTTTCATAGTAAGCCCGAGTTTAGAATAATTGAATCATCAAACTGTTTTCTTTTAAAATTGTATCTATTTATCAAGTACAATAGCCGCACCCTTATCTATGCCCCAACCTTCCAAGACCAAAAACGACAGAGTGTACCAAACCCTATATATACTGTTTTTTACTATACATACATATCTATGACAAAGCTTAATTTATAAATTAGGCACAATAAGAGATTAAGAATAACAACTAATAATAAAATAGAATAATTATAATAATGCCTCTAACAAAAGTTATGTGAATAGGCTCCCTCTCTCTCTCAAAATATCTCACTGTACTGTATTCACCCTTCTTGTGATGACGTGAGATGATAAAATGCCTACAGGATGAGATAAAGTGAGCTGAATGACGTAGGCACTGTAATGTAGCATTAGGATACTACTGAACTTCTGACCATATGTCAGAAGCAGGACCATCTGCTTCTAGATTGTAGTTGACCGCTGACAAGCAGATACTACTGTATTTAGAGATCAGGCACTGAGCTGCCACTTTTATGAATAATCTCATTTAATCCTTAAGACAAAAATAGAAGGAGATACAATATAATACTTATTTTAAAAAACAAAAAAAAAAACTTGGAAGAAACAAGAGACATACCCTAAAATAATAGACTGAGGATTTGAGCTGGGATTCAAATATAGGCAATCAAATTCTGGGTAGTTAATATCTGAATCTTAGTATCTGAATAGTTAGTATCTGAATGGTACAATAATGATCACTATCTTTTACTGCATACCTACTCTGTGAGAAACAGAATTTTTTTGGTGAATGTTTTCTTAGTAAAATAAACATTTTAGGGATGAACTGTAGGTAATTAGACAGACAGAAAATTGCTTTTAACATAAATTGGGCTCCATATTTATTGAACTTTTCCTATCACATCATTAGGATTAAGATGACTAGGAAATAATTATTCCTGTTTTTAAAAAAATATCCTCACTTCCCAAAAAACATATCTGATACATGACATATATAAGTGAAACAGAGAATGAGGTAAATTTTTGTTTGAAATCGTCAAGTAACGAACACAAACGTGCTTTAAGTGTTATATTTGAAGGTAACACAGGGAGCAGGATTTGCCCCCAGGGTCTAAATCTTCACCCCATTTTCCCACCATATACCACGAGGATATTGTGAGCACATGTGTGCCTGTGTGTGTGCATGCATGTGTGCATATGTGTAAGCACATGTGTGTGTGATCTTATGGATTAAGTGATCCACTTCTCATGGAAATTAGAGCATTCGATTTACTCATCTTGACTGCCAGTGGTTTCTGTCCAATCAAGCTTACCAGAAGTCTCCAGTGACTAATAACTTATAATGCCTGCTACACTGGCTATATAAGATAGCTTTTCTTACATGAACTCAGAACAGAAAACTTACCAAGTCTGTTCGGCAAAACCCTGGCTGTGCGGAAGATATGTAAAGGGGACAGTCATCAGCTGCCATGCCATGTGAGTCCATATAAGGTGATGAGTGTTAGAATCACTTAAGAACGTAATTAGATGCTCTAGTTCTTCATCCTTCATGACTTCACATATCCCATAAATTGACTTCATAATATAGTGTTGTTCAGTGTCCTATTTTTCTCCTGGGCCTCAGAAGACATTAAAACTTTGTTCAGGGCCTTGACTTAAAAAAATTGACTGCTATCACCTAGCCAAACTTCAACGCGTAGGTTTACCCTAGAATAATAGGATTAATATGCAAATCACTTAATTTATTATGGTATCCCACTGGATATAAGTATGAAGTATAGCTAATATACTCTGCGCTGCTTGGAATATGCTTCACTCCATTAACATAAATCAGCTTTCTAGTTTAAATATTAAACCTTAAAAAATTAAGAGAGCTTCACTCAGAATATTACACCGGAGCTATATGTTCGAGGTGCTTTGCATATGTTCTTGTTCCAAGTGAGACAATCCATCTTTTTTAATTTTAGCTTTTAACAGAATCCTTAAGCATTTCTAATTCCAAGAAAAAGAACCCCAAGGAATTACGAATGAATGCTGAGAAGAAAAATCAAAGTTAAGCCTGGGGATGCTGTCTGAGAACTCTGGGAGATGCGTACGAGTCACATAAAGCCAACTGCGGGAGATTCAGCTCTGAGAATACTGAATACTTTAAGGACTAATAATTTTCTTTGGGAATTCACTCAGAAAAATCAGCCAAGTTATTTTCATCTTAAAGCAATGCAAGTATTTTACTCCAAATATAAGTGTTCATCTTTACAACTCTAATTTCAAAATTCCGAAGTTTTAAAAATTAAGGAAAATTGATATATACTTATTGGAGTGAAATATTTCAAACTTATTAACAATGCCATGTGGTAACATAGTTTTTTCTTGCTATCTTCATTCTGTATATATTCATCAGAGTTATTTTAAACAGATGGTAACCTGTGGATTATGGAAGTGAGCAAAAACACTTTTCAGGTGACATTTCTGCACTCATGAAAGTTTTATACCTTAAACAGCTAAATGAAGGGACAAGTTAGAAGCACAACTGGTACCACCAGTGACTGTGACCTTGAAGATAGGCTGTGGCCAAAGACTCATGATTCTATAGCTACTGGAAGTGTACTGGCCACTACGGAGGATTTGTGGAGATGTGTGAAATAAGGATCCAAGAGCTCAGTGTAGCCTGATACAATGCTCAGCACCACTGGAAGCTGCACAAATTCTCTAATTGTCCTGCTTTCCCATACCTTACTGTGTAAACTTATATGAGTCTTATTTTACATCCTATAGTGAAGAAGTCTAATTATCTATAATCTATTTTATAGTCCAAGTACTTCAGTGATTCTATGTTTGGCTAAAAAAAAAGTTCCTGTATTCAAAGTAATTTCAAAACTCCCAATGATTTGAAATCCAATCAGATTATTATGACATATTTTAGGAAGAGGTTGATGGAATGAGTGTTTGAAACAAATATGGAATATGGCAGCCTGCTTAGGAGATAGATGCCAGTAGTATTCTCTAGGGGAAAAGGCATTTTGAAGAAATTAGACTTTCGAACAAGTGTTTGAAGGAATTTTACTTATGATGAAGAATCTGCAATTAATGTCATCAGCAAGTTTAATTAAGCAAGAGGATAGCAGCCCAAATAAACATTAACTTGCAGCCAGGTATCATCATTCAACAAAGAGTTTACTGAATCCAACATTTACACTACTATAGGAGGAGTGAGGAATTTGCTAATTCCTAAATCATTCCTTAATTATTCCTAATCAAATAATTCTTAAAAGAAAAAAAAAAAGAATAATTCCTAAAAGGAAAAAAGCAGCAGGAATGAAGCAGTCAGAAATCAGACACATTGAAGAAAGACTCAGAAAATATCTGCCCGATAATTTCTGAACCTCCTACCACTTCAGCTTCAGTTACTTTTGTGACGACTGTAGGTTAACCACAGGGTCAAGGCCTACTGGATAATGAGGCACAATGGATTCACTTGGTAATTAGTGCAACTAAAACAGCTACAGAAACCTATACTAAACTTATTTTAATGAAGAAGAGAATTTTCTTAGCAACAAGTGAAACTTTAATAATTCAGCAGTTTAAGTTATGTGTGCGTGCATATACACACACATTTATGTATCATGAACACCAGGACAAGCTAATTTCAGTTTATATTTACAAATATGGCAATTTTTAAACTTTCTGTAAAAACTTAAATATATGGAATGAATAAGTCACAGGAATAAAAGGCACAGCATAGGAAATATAGTTAGTGATATTGTAGTAGTGTTGTATGATGACAATGATAGCTACACTTGCTGCGGGTATTGAATCACTATGTTGTACACCTGATTACAACGAATGTACAGTGTAACTAATGTAACATTGCTTGTCAACTAGGGATGACTGGGTGGTTCAGTCAGTTAAGCCTCTGCCTTTGGCTCAGGTCATGATCTCAGGGTCCTGGGATGGAGTCTCCTACTGGGCTTCTTGCTCAGCAGGGAGCCTCCTTCTCCCTCTGCCTGCCACTCCCCCCAGTTTGTGCTCTCTCACTGACAAATAAATAAAATCTTTTAAAAAACTGTATGGCAATTATACTTAACTAAAAAAATTTATAAAACAAAACTGAACTTAAATAAGATGTTGAACTACAACACTAACCTCTTATGAATAAATTCATCATATAGAATTATCTTTACATTATTAGAAAAGACAATGTGAAAATCAACCATTTTATGAGATAAATACCATATTTTTAGTATTTTATCGATGGACTGAATATATTCTTGCATTTTGATTAAATTTAGGGTGTGGTACTATATTTTTAAGCGTTTATTTAATCTCTGTCTATAGTGAAATATCTATTAAAAGATGTTATAGCATAAGTTATATAGTAACACAGAAGCCTTGGGGCTCTCAGAATAATGGGTAATGTTCTAGAGCAGGGGTCAGCAAGTTTTTTTCTGCAAAGGACCAGACAGTAAATATTTTCGACTTTGCAGGCCATGTGATTTCTGCCACAAATACCTAACCTTGCCACATGGCACAAAAGCAGCCTCAGACAATATGAAAACAAATGAGTGTGGTTGTACTCCAGCACGTTATTTATAAAATCATCCAGTTAGAGTTTTCAGCAGCCCTGCTGCAAAGTCATAGTTTGCTGGCCCCTGAGCTATCAGACTCGTTCTATATATTTTGTCTTCCTACCCAGTACAAACTTTTACAAGAGCCTCAAAGCTTAATCAAACAGCAAATGCACATACCTTTTCCCCAGGAATTCCAGGAGTACCAAATTCACCTTTCATACCACCTGAACCCTAAAATATAGAAATGCTTTTAGGAGGTTTTTTTCAAAGGTGTATTAAGTGCTAATGTCAAAGAGAATCTACCATTTCACAGATAGGCTGCTTCTGCTCACACAAAAGTTTGTTTACTGAGTCCCTTCTTTGTATTGTCCACAAGTCATTAAACTATACTTTTGACAATAATTTATCAAAAAATTAATAAGTAATAAATATCAAAATGCTAATCAAAACTAAAATTAAACATTCTCCACACAGATATATGTAATTCAGCTTTGTCATTTCTTTCACATTTATCAAAGATAAGGAATGATTCTATTGCTTTTATCTTAAGTAATACCTAACACTTTCAACTCAAGCAAGTCATGAAATTTTAGATTCTAAGGTATTCATATTTGTTTCATTAATGTGCCTGAATTTCCATTATATCCTCTAGGAAAAATTCCACAGCTGGGCCAACCCAATTGTTAACTTCCCTGCTTTTCCATTTAAATGGGAAAAAATATTCTCAATGAAGTTGATGTGTTACTTATATCTGCCTTAATGGCTCTACCACAAATTCAGTCTAATAATTTATCCTCGAAATGGTGGAAAATAAATCAACTTTCTAATGAGTTTCACTAATGTGTGGTAGAGATTTTAAGAAATATATCAGAATTTTGTGACTATATAATGCTATTATTACACTGATATATGTTCATTTCAGATTTAAGGTATACAAGTAAATTTCAACTTCAAGTTCCTATAAATTAGATGAGATTACATCAGGTTGGGTAAAATTGACATAAAAATAAAATTGATACAAAACAAAATAAATAAAATATATTCAATATTAGATTAGAAAAAATAGAGAAATATTTATTTCTTATATTGACATAGGTCAAAAGTCAATATTAAATTCTACGTCTAAGAGCTTACTACTAAGGGAAGATATCCCTTCTTTCAAAGAAATTGACAACATATTTTAATTCTATTACAGAATGAGCAGGTGAGTAATGTCAGATTGAAAAGAAAATAAAGGGAAACTCACCAGTAATCCCTGACTTAATACATTAGACTATTCAAAATGGAAACTGCCATATACCGAGATCTGAAGGAGGGGAAAGGAATCAATACACAAGTTTCTGACTAAAGAGGTAAATTAACTTATTCTATTTTAAATTGTTTTGATTTTCTCTAGAAGTATATCAGCAAAGCAATTATTTCATAAAGCCTATAGTTTGGGGGAAATTAACTGGATTTGTGGAAGATAATAATTCAAACATAAACTGGAAAATTATTTCCCAAATAGAGCTCAGACCTTAGGTTAAGGGACATTGAAATTGAGCTGCTATTTTATAAAACTCTCACAGAATTTCAACTTTGAAGTGGATAAGGGTATTAGCCAGGGTCTTAAAGAATTGAGAAAGTAATGTGGTTGCTAAGTAATTAGGTTGCTAACTACATTTGCTAAAAAAAAAAATGTGGGGGGCATTAAAAGATTCAGAAAATTACAATAATCAAATCGAAATGAAAGAAGAGTATTAATTGTTATTTCAAATAATGTCATCTAGAGTTTACTCTTGGACAAATGAGTTGATTTGATTAAGTGCTCTAATACCAGAACACTAATCACATCTAGGTGTTCAAATCCATGCAATGGCTGAATATCAAACCATCTTACTCCATTAAAGGGTCATCATTTTTATGAAAAGAAAAAAAAAAAGACAGTAAATCAGATTAATGAAGCATGGATGAGAACATGGGCAAATAAAGATAAAAATTAAATTAAGCCCAAACTCGTTTTTTCCCAAATATATTTTTTAAAGATTTTATTTATTTATTTGACAGAGATCACAAGTAGACAGAGAGGCAGGCTTCGGTGGCGGCGGGGTGGGGGGGGGGAAGCAGACTCCCTGCTGAGCAGAGAGCACGATGCAGGGCTCCATCCCAGGACCCTGGGATCATGACCTGAGCCGAAGGCAGAGGCTTTAACCCACTGAGCCACCCAGGCATTGCTAATTAGCAATATACAGCTAAAACGAATCAGGTCACTTTGTTTTTTAAAAGAAAAAGTATAGTATAGAACACTAGTGAGTAACAGTCCTTGATGATTTAACATATCTAGCTCTTCCTCTGCAAACTGACTCTTTGCCCCGCTTGGCAAAGTTCCCTGGGAAATTGGGGCATCAAATTTATAAGTTCTAGAAACAACTAAGTGGATGACTTAGACTTTCTCTCAGGTGTTCATTCATTTATTCAACTCCTATTATGTGCTGCTCTATGTATGCTGCTCCCAAAATTCCTATTCTAGTGGGGGAAATGAATAGACGCATAATGCTAACAAGTCAGGTGATACTAAAAGTGCTAAGAAAGAAGATAGAAGTGGAATGAAGGGATGCTTTTATATAAAGACTTCAGACTAGGCCTTTCTATTTTCAAGTGATTTCTGAGATTTCTAAATGGTGTGAAGGAGAGAGCCAAGTGGCTCTCTCTGAGGAGGAGATCTGAGGAAGCCCCACATAGATGTAACCTGGTGTGAAGACCCTGGAGCAGGATAGAACAAGGGAAGAGGGTAGGACACCATATAGGGAGTGGAGAGTGGGATAGAGAGAGCTCTACACATTATTTGGAGCCATGGAGAGAGCTTCAGTGTTTATCCTGAGAGAGACAGGAAGACACGGTGGGTTTTGACCCAGATGGGGAAGGATTTACTCACATGATTATTTATTCATTGTCAAATAATGTTGGGAACAGAAGACATAGCTTTGATGAAATACTTAAATCATTAAGTGACCTTTTCAAGAAATTAACTATCAATAACTTATTAACATTTGCTACAAGTAGCATACAATAACACATTAAGATTTTTATATACTAAAATATTTATAAATTCAAAGGGATTATCTTACAGATGAAGATTAATTTGTTTTTGGCCAAGTCACATAAGAAACTCTCAAACTAAAGGGATTATTTCCACCTCTTCCTCAATATGTGAACAAGTATAGTATAGACAGGAAAGCAGAGGAAACATATTTTTTCAGTCTGTATTATGTGTGAGTTTCTGGCACTATGTATCTTATACATATTTTATTGTATTCCTTCTTCACAATAAACCATTGACTAGGTATTATTAAGGACTACTTTTAAAGCAAGTAAGAGATGGATGGGTTTCAGTCTCAAGTGGTTCAGACTCTAGAGAGGTAAGCCTTCTAATATACTGTCCCACATGTACTGTCCTAAATATCCTTTCTCAGTCTTATAGACCAAAAGGAAAACCTTGAGGATGTCTGGTTCCTTTAGCAACACTGCACTTCCGATCATTTCATGAAATTATCTATTCAATATACCTTAGAGCAAAATGACTTTCAATCTTCAAGCCATGCAGGCATTATTTTGTGCACCTAGTCTAATAATGAAAATATATAGCAGATTTAAACACAAGGAAAGTCATCTTTATTTATTGCACATTAAAGTTGCAGGATCACACAGTACAATAAGAATAGGAACAGACTCATCATCAACTCCTTAAAATGAAACGATACATCTATGTTTATTACGAGTGCTAGAAAGCAGAACACATTCATAGCCATAGTCATCTGAAGTCATAATTACACAGCAAGTGTTATGCTGGTTTAATCAAATGCTGGTGCTTGCATTGAAAAAATAAAGTATATTGAAAAACGAATTAATTTTTTGTCTTGTTTTGCAGATCATCAATTTATTTTATCCCAGCTGTTTTTACCTTGCCACTAAAATCACTTGCAGTTATGAGTTTTGTATAGTCTGGAATTTGAAACCAATGTTAATATTTTAAAAATATATCTTAAATGAAAGTTATATAATACACTGTAACCCTAAGGTACATTTTTGTGTATTTTATAGATTTGGAATACAATAAATTTGCTAATAATTTCATTTTTACTAATTCCTTCTTAGTTCTTTTCTACTGCTTTTCTTTCCCACAGAGGGAGGGAAGACTCCTTGAACAAATAATCACTAGATTGTAAACTCAGTGAGAGTAAGCCTAGTTTTCTCACTACTGCTATAGGTCCAGAACTTAGCACACTTTTTGTTATAATAATAGGAACTCAATAAATAGTTGCTGATGAATTAATGAATAAAAGAAAAATGAATATTTAGATGTTGAAAGAGGTATCTACTGTATGATTAAAGAGTATGGAGGAAAGAATGAGTCTTTAAATGACATATGCTCTAACACCTCTAACAAGAGAGTCTTAGTGCCTAAACTTTAAAAAAAAATCATCTAAATGTGATTCAATATTTTTTTAAATATTTACTTAATGTTTTTTAAAAGAAACAGGGATATTTTTAAAATATTTTACTCCTTCTGAAACTGACATGTGAAATTTCTTCCTATGCCAATAATCTTAAATTGATAGAACTGGTAAGTCAAAGAATGGGAAAGTCAACTTAAAAAATGTTAATATGTATCACATCACAATCACCAACAAGTAAGACAGATCATCGTTTTCAAAGTACTTTGTGTCAACCTTATGATGTAGGTAGAACTGATAGATGACACACTCTCATTTACAGATGAGGGAAATGAAGCATGAAAAGACTGGGTGGCTTGGCCAAGCTCACACTGCTAACCTCAGAAGAGTTGGGATTAATCCAGATCTTTCTACTTTATGAGTCCTCTTAATTATGTTACCATGGGCACACCATTCTACCCATGCATGGTTCTCTCAGCTGCAAAATGAGGATAAAAAATACTGGGTTGAAATTCTTTATGAAGTTATAAGGATAAAACAAGATATTTCAAGTGGAAATGCCATAATCAAAGAACACAAATAATACTGAAGAGCTTTTAGAAAATAGAGCAACCTTCAAAATCCAGACTAGACTTGACATATCTAGGTTCTGATCCTAGCTTGACCACTCACCATGTGCCCTTGGGCAACAATTTAACCTCCCTGAACTTCAGTATTGCCTTCTGTGAAATAGTAATACCAATACTTAACACAAAGAGTTTTAAGAATCAGAAAAATTACATATCTAAAATACTCTTC